ACCTAGATTCTGACCAAAGCTGCTGGCTTTCCAGTAATGTGCCATGCATTTGAGTATTTGTTTCTCTTGTAAAGGAGTCCAAACAGCCGTCGCTGCATTGGACCGCATAAACAACGTTGATCAGCTTTGGTTTGCTTCAGTTTTTATCTGACTGTATATTTGGATTTGAAATTTACTAATATTTGGAGAAGATCCTTCTTAGTTTCTTAGAAACTCCTGACACATATGGAATTAAGTTTTTAGTTTTCTCCTTTTCTCTGTTTTAGATGCAATGTTAGTCTTCATGCTGTTTTGTTTTTCTTTTTTTTTTGTGTGCCAATTTAACAAACAGCCAGTTTGAGTAACCACATGCTTCAAGGGATTTCCTGGAGCCGAGTTAGTCAGAGTTTTGATCCAGTGGGTGATGTGGGTCAAAATGCAGATATTGGTCTGTATTTGTAAGTTTTTAAGCTAAACTTCAGTATTACGACTTCCATTGTCACTTATGCACAGCACAGTCCAAAAGGGGCAACATGTTATCCTTTTTATATGTTCTTTCTGTCTACTGAGTTGATGTGGTTAGTGAACGCCTTGACTTGACCAAGGCTCTTGTCAAGTTTTCAAAATGCCTTTAAAAAACCTGAGTATGGTTGCCCCTGATTTAAGCCTGTTTTGCGGTTGCCATGACCCAGATAACTTAATATGAGTCAGAAATCTATATTCACAGTGGTGTATAAAAATCTTTGTGTTTAACATTTTAATAATTTAAAAAGGCCTGTTCAGCCAGGCCAACAATTCCCCCTAATGACCCCCTTTTCAGAGACATAGACAGGTATCCAGTAATACAGGCTAAAAAAGGAACCAAAAGACCCTCATTCCAAAGGGGCAAACCCATTCGTCTGGTTCAATTTGCATGTTTTCTAAGCCAAAACAAGGCTTTGTTTTGGGCCACTCTATAAAGCCTCAAACTCAATGCTATTTGTGATATTTTGAATTGAAAAATATTCCTGGATGGAAAGCAAAACGTCTTCAAAACTTGAAGACTGGATTGTTTTTTTCAGTCATCTCCTGGATGACTGAGAATCTTCACCAGCATATTAACAATTTAAGAATCATTACATATTTGATAAAACACCAATAAACAAAGTATCCAATAAACAAAACACCAATAAACAAAATATCCTACTGGTTTGGCCATTTGAAATAGAAGTACATATAATATTTGGTTTTGTTCAAACTCATGTGTTTGAGTTAAAATTTGATTTCAGTAAGGCCACAAGGTATGAAAGAGACATGTTTTCATTCCAGAGATGAAGCAAATGTTGGTGGTCACAATACTATTTTTCAGAATAGAAGTTTGGTATATATTTGGTATAGATTCTGCATATATAATGTGTAAGCACTGTTTTTGTTTGCATCATCTAAAATACTGACATGAAATAAAGCAACAAAATTGCATGCCTTATGAACTAAAACTAATTTAGCATGACCATATCAACTTCTCTCATTGTGGTTGCTTTGCTATGGATGTTTGTTTTGTTTTTTTGTCTTACTTCCTCTTTCCCCTTCAGTGGATTTGATGGATGACAATATTTTTAGAATGTACTGCAGATGAATGCATGATGTGCATACAACAACTATACTTTAGCATGTTATTTAGCAGTTATGCAAACATTTTTATGACAGAAAGCTTTTCTTAATTAAAACACCAACCATTTTATGTAAAACTTGGTTCAAAAGGATGGCCAGCTTGCTTGGGCTTTCCAGAGTACGTTCATCTTCTTCATAACAATTTTCTATTGTCATCTAGCCTCTGGAGGCAAGGGTGTCAGAGTTAGAAACCAGGCTTCAGGGTGTTGAACATCCAGGAATAAAAGTAGGCTCACGTAGTTGTCCCCCAAAAGTAACAGAGCAGCCAGGTGACTGGGTAACAGTACGCAGACAGCGTAATTGTGGATCTATGCCCACTGGTCACCAAAACCCGTCCATGTTTCTAACTGATTTTCCCCGTTCAGTGATGCACCCACTGAGTAGCCCGCTCTTGTAATTATCAACTCCATAGTCAGAAAGATGGTATTAGAGGCACCAGGGACCATAGTCAAATGTTTGCTGGGGACCAGAACGGGCAACATCAAATCCTACCTGAAGCTAAGGATAGGGTTAAATACAGTAAGACTGTTATCCACGCTGGCGGTACTGACACCCGGTTACGGCGATCGGAGGTGACTAAAATTAGTGTTGTTTCGGTGTGTAAGTTTGCCAAAACAATGTCAGAAAACGTAATTTTCTCTGGTCCCCTCCCTGATCTGACCAGTGATGACATGTTTAGCCACATGTCCTCTCTCAACCGCTGGTTGTCTAGGTGTTGTCCTGAAAACAATGATGGCTTTATTAATAATAGGCAATCCTTTTGGGGAAAGCCTGGTCTGAATCTGAGAGATGGCATCCATCCTACTTTGAGTGGTGCAGCTCTTCTTTCTAGGAATCTGGCCACATTTATTAGTCCTCCAAAACCCTGATAACCCAGGGTGCAGACCAGGAAGCAGAGTCGTAGTTTAACATACGTGTCTGCAGCTTCTCTACTGTTACCCACTCATAACTCCATCCAGGCAGTGTCTTGCCCACAACCAAAATCAAATAAATTAGAAAAGATTCCCAAAGGAGAAAATCATGATAATCTAATATAAATAAAAATAACTCCAAATGGGGAAGAAGTTTGAACAATTAAATGTGGTTTATTTAACATAAGATCTCTTTCTTTAAAAAGTCTGCTAGTTAATTACTTGATTTGTGATAATCACATTGTTGCCTTCCAGAAACTTGGCTGCAGCAAGAGGATTATGTGAGCAGAAATGAGGCAACTCCTATTTATTTAAATTTTCAAATACCCAGAAGTTCTGGGTGAGGAGGTGTAGCAGCAACAATCTTTTAGTCTGTCTCACTGATTACTTCAAAGGCAGTTGAGAATTACAACTCTTTTGAACATTTAACCATTAGTTTCCGTCAGCCAAATAGCGATGCCAAACAACATCTTCCTTTTGTAAATATGTATCATCCATCAGGTCCTTACTCTGAATTTTTAGATGAGATTTCAGAGTTCCTATCTGATTTGGTGTTGAATACTGACAGGGTCATTATAGTGGGGGATTTTAACATCCATGCTGACATTGAAGGCAATAGCTTTAGTGCAGCCTTTAATTCTATCTTAGATGCTATTGGCTTTGTTCAAAATGTGAATAGTCCCAAACATTCTTATCTTCATAATTTGGACTTTGTGCTAACATATGGCATTGAATGTGAAGAGATAACAGTATTCCATCACAACCCTGTCCTCACTGACCACTTTTTAATAACCTTCAGGATTATTTTAACATAGTTCTCCTCCCCCAAAAGAAGGTTTCACTTTAGCAGATCATTATCAGATAGTGCAGTTATAAATTTTAAAGAATCTGTTTCACTTTCTCTCTCTGTGTTGCTGAGCAGTGCTGCAGAGGGCAAAAGTTTAGCTTGTTCCCCTTCACAGGTTGATAATTTTATTGAGGGGGTTGCTAGTTCTCTACATACTGCCTTATATAACGCAGCCCCTTTGAAAAAGAATACCTTAAAAATAGAAAGCTGGCTCCCTGGTTAATGCAGAGCTGCACATTCTGAAGCAAAATGCTAGGAAACTGTTCCTAGATATCTTTTCTATACAGTTGCCAAACTTACCCAGAGCCATAGCTCTGTTGAACCATCCATACCACCTGCTCTTAGCAGTAATGATTTTATGGGATTCTTTACAGATAAGATTTTTTTTATTAAAAATAAGAATATTAGCACTCCTCTAATTGGTTTATCTCTGGAAGATGAGGTATTGATAAGTACATTCAGAGTTGCAATATATCTTGAAACTGTAAGTTATTCAGGGGATTTGTCAATTTAATGTTGATAAGACAAGGGATTGCTAAAACATAACACACAAGCAAATCATAATATGAAATATTTCTTAATAAGTTATAACTAACATCCAAAATGAATTTGATGGATTTCCAAAAAATGTCTGGCAAATAGATTTAAAGTTATATAATGCTATTAAACCCCTTAACATGTAACCATGGCCATGAACTGTTTTGTTGATTTTACTCAGTTTGCCTTGTGTTAAAGCAGTGTTTTGTGCTTAGTATATCACTTTTTTGTGTGTGTATGGGTGTTTGTGTTTTCATTGACTTCAAGCATTAAATGTAGGATTTGATACAATAGTGTCCAATACCAAGCAACTTCAAGTCTTTTAGCAATGACTACTTGGAAAAATGTGACATGTTAAAGTTGTAAAAACACGCAAATTAACAGTTTCCTTTTTAACAAAAATCATTTATTTCATTTCACTTATTAGGGTCAACATTTCCTTCAATCTCTATCTTTTCCATAGTTAGATCAATCTCTTAAGAACATCACTTATAACAAGATCAAACAAAAGACAAAAGGAAAATAAGGAAACATAAGGACAAAGGACATACAATTTTTCAACAGTTAGCTCACTTTTATTTTTATTGAATACATTCTTATATTTCATTTATTAATTCCCTTATTTAAGATTGGAGTTATCCAGCACGACAATGTAGAAAGTTGTTTACATAAAAACAGTTTTCAGTACAGTTCTTAAGACAAAGTGCCTTGCTGTTTGATTAATAAATCTGACAGACAAATAATGATAGTATTCCTGATAGCTTTGAGACCAAAAAGCTTAATGCATCTACTTACACATGAAGTTCATGAAAAAAAGAACTGATGAAGGATTTGTTCGACAGATTAAATGCTAACTTATTTTAGGACAGCTAAAAAAGCAGCGTGCTGTCAGAAAACAGAAAAAAATAAATATACATACTATATATATATATATAGTATATATACTATATATATATATATATATATATATATATATATATATATATATATATACACACATATATATATATATATATATATATATATATATATATATATATACACACATATATATATATATATATATATATATATATATATATATATATATATGTGTATGTATATATATATATATTCAAAGGCAACTTTACTCCTATATATCACTCTGGGGTCAAAGCTGACAATCTCTCAGCAATGAATATATATGATATATATAATAATAGATATTTTTAAGGTTATTAGAAATCATACAGTACAAGTTAGCAATCTCAGTGTTAATGCAGTGTTGAATTACACAACCATGGCTACGGGTCTATGATACATGCATTTCTCTGCAGTGAAACTCCACTTTTTTTTTCCAGCTGGAAAATTTTCACATACACACATATAAATCAAGTTTTTATCAACTTTCTGGTGCCTGTGTTACTTTACTGTATAGATTAGGAAACTGGTTTGGGCTCCTGTATTGTAACATTATATGATGACCTTCTTCCTCTGTGTCCCTGATGAAAGTGTAATGACCTTAATGGGTCCCCTTTATTCCATGAAAGAAACGTAATATTTAACTAAACATTACCTACAAGGACACTCAGAAATATTGTACTCTGTCCAGTATTTACTTCTTCATTTTGTTTTTAAGGTAATTTTTGTTGCTTGTATTCAACCTAGTGTTATTTACATATTTCAATAACTTGGAAAGACAAAGCCTCTGCTCATTGAAATATTCAATGTACAATAAAAAAAAAAAGCCAAAGTAAAACCATTTTAACTTTCTTTATAACATTCCAATGTACACCTTGTTTGAACCACATTATTAAGATTCCTGTAAGGTTTTACTTTAAACACTTCAATAGGCACAAAAAAGGAAAATGATCCCAAGAACACAAAAAGTGAGTCACAATTTGAGTCAAGTACTCAAACTTTTCACCACGCAGGTGCTCGTCTATGGGCTCTTCAAAAAATATTCTGTCATTTAATATTCCTTTAATCATCAGGGCAATTCAGTCCCAAATGTGTGTGTATGTATGTATATATATATATATATATATAGTTTATGACTGTGCGTGTCATTATTATTATACAAGTAGTTCATAGACATTACAAATGTATTTATTTGCAGAGTTTAGGCCTGAGTTCAGAAACCTTAGGGTGTTATATGAGATCAATAATAAAAGACATTTAATGTTATAGCTTAGATGTAATGGGGAAATTCTGCCTTTTGTTCATCAATCTATAAAAAGTAATTACTGGTAACAAAATGAAAAGTTACTGTAGGTAAAATAAAAAAAGTGCTAGGAATAAGTTTTAAAGTCATCTTCACAGATGACAAAACAAACAAAAAAAGAGTAGAGACCCATAAAGTGGATTGCCAGTTGGGATCTTTCCACAGCCAGTCATGACATAAGGATTTATGTCATATACTGATAATGATGCACAGAGTTGTATAAAGCGCAATGACAGCCAAGGTGTGTATCAGGGATTGTTCACAGTTTCTTGCTTCCCTTTTAATGGAGATACATATTTTATTTTCTATCTTTATTTTATTTTCAAAGCAATCAGGACTTCCTGAACACCTCACTAGAGCCACAAACAATCCATCTTAATGGGATGTTGAATTGATGCACCACTCTATATAAATTAAGACCAACCAAATATGAGTGCCTCTTTTGTACTTTTTTCGAGGAAGAAAATTCTGCTTCGAAAATAAGTTTTTTTTTTTTCTCACTTAGTCATTAAACTTTCAGGATAATTAATTTGGACTTTCATTAGCTGTAGTTCAAAAGTCACAAAGTTCAGAGAGATCAAGTTTTATTTCTTTAACTTATTTTCAAACCGTACAACCTACTTACAAAGAATAATTTATCTGTTTGAAATTTCATATGTTGTGTAGAATTTCATTGTTCACATGAGTCTTTGTCATAATTTATTCATATTTTGCAGAACCCTTTCTACATATCGGGCTGTAAAAATAATTAAATTCTACAATACTATGAGCAACAATAAGCGATGCTAATTGTAATCTAATAATATTAGGCTTTCCACGGAAAACCTAACTTTCTTTATTAGGAGTATCTAGGTGTTTTCTGTTGACACAGGACACACAATGCAAGAAACCCATTCTAAAACCCACTGGGCCAAAATGTTCTGCTGCACTTGTCCAGGTACCAGACAACTCAACAAAGCCCAATATAGTCTTTGTTTATGCTCTTGCTGACTAGAAGTGTTTGACTGGCAAGAGAACCGTCTACTTAAAATTAGTCTCTATTCACAGATTCAGTGAGTAAAAAATATGTACCGCATCCATCATAGAAAATAGTTTGAATTTTGCATTATCATAGATCTGTTTATACACAAAATCCTTAGAACAAAAAAGTACCAAACTATGATATTTACCTTGTTGCTGATATGGTTTTACTGGGAGCCTTTGTGAATATGTGAAGAAAAACATAATAGTAGGAGGATTTTTGATTCATTAGGTGCGTAGTCCTTGTGCAGACCATAGGAATGTTTTTTTTAGAACCATTTTCAGTACATAACCAAAAATATCATCTGCACCATATATTAATCTAAATAATTAGCTTATTTCAACAGAAATGAAACAAACATTTAGGCTGTAATTAGTTTATTTGTTAATTTATTCTTAATAAACCATTATATTATCAGGGCTGGGTGTAGATGGTGTTATTTATATGTTATTTATACTATGTTGTCTGACTTGTAAACAAACAAAGAAAATTGAAAATGGATGTAACATTTTGCTCTGACATTAAAAGCTTGAAAAGTGTGGATCCCAACTTTGCCAAGGTTGTTTAAGCTGATGCTGCAAGATTAGATACATGTTTTCCTTAAACTGTACATGCTTATATGCACTGTCAGTTAAACCGTACTGACAGGAAAAATTTGGTCCTCTCAGTACACTTATGTTAATGAAATCCAGGGTATCTGGTCGGTCGAATTAAAGTCATAATCTGATCTGAGAAATTATATCAAATCTTTCTTTTTTTCTCCCTATAGTTGGGTTAAATTGCGATTTCTACATAGACATGTGCCAAATTACCTGGGATGTCATCAACAGAAAATTGAATAATTGTTTTCCAAAATTGATAGAATTGTTCCTGTCCCTTTAATCACAAGCTGAAATATACCAGTTGTGTGCAAAAACAGGGGTGGATAATCAGCAGATAAGTATCAGTCTGTTGGACAGTACAAAGATTAAAAATGTGCCTCTGTTGAAGAGCCAAACCAATCTATATGTTAAAATTCAAATATGTCATTCTGTTTCTTCGCCAGCTTGGCCACCTCCTGTCTTATAGCCTGCACAAGTGCAGAGGTAGAGAGGCTGCTCAGAGGCATCCTATCCATGTCCTTCAGCACCTGGGGCAGACTTTGATCCGATGCTGTGCGGGGTGCAGAGGGCGGTTGCTCCAGTGTCTGGCTGTATTGCAACGGGAGCCTAGTGGGACTCCCCTGTGGGTAACGAGGGTTAGGAAAAGCTTCTGCATAGCCAGGCAAGGGTACCTAAAAAACCGAGTGCACAGGAAAGATAGGAAAATTGTAATGTTAGTACTCAAGTGTAACATGTAGTGAAAAATTGTGAACAGAAGTAAGATAAAAACAAAGCCTATAAAATTTTTTATAAATGACAAACATTAAGATTCCTTTTAAGAACTCATAGGTTTGTTAGAAATCATTATTACTGTCCACATAATGAGCCAGCAGCTAGAAGGCCAATGATAACTATGGAGGAGCTGCAAAGATACTTTATGCAGAAAAATCCATCTTAAATATGTTTTGTATAAACTCTATTATGATTTCCCTAATCAGGGAATCAGAATATAGTTAGATTCCCAATAAAAAAGATTTTAACTGAAATGCATATATGCACTGAAAAACCCAAAGCCCAGACCTAAATTCAGCTAAGAATCTGCAGCAATGATTAAAAAAACATATCCAGAGGCACGATTCTTCAACTTAACTGAGCATGAACTATTATTTAAAGAAGAATGCGCAAAAGCATCATTCTCTATATGTGCAAAACTTATACAGACAAACAATAACCCAGTTGCTATATTAAATCAGTGGGGGCCTGCCATCCTTAAAAGATACTCTTTACATCTTGATTGTGTTATGTTTTCACCAGGTTACTTGACACATAAGCAGGATACATTTGGTTTCTTACAGCATCTGTCCACTGTGGCTGTACATCCTCCGGTTCTGGTGGGTAGGACATCCAAGATGGACTGTGATAAGATGTGGGGGATGTAGGGACAAAATACTCTGAGTGCCCCGGCCTGGCAGAGGGGATAGCGTAGACAGCAGTTATAGGGTTTCCTGTTAAAATAAAGAAAGCAATGTGGGGTTTTATGTTTGTCAACTGACACATAATAACACTAAATAATAGCTAAACCCTCTTCTTATGTGCTTACCTGAGTAGTTTGGCACAGGCTGTTCTGCAGTAATAGATGGAAGTACTGCTCTTGTGGTTGGCGCATATGGGTTCTTTTCACATTGACTACGCATTTCAGCGACAGATGTTTCTGAGCTCCTTCCCTTAGGCCCCAAGTCCGAAGTGGAACTAAGTGGAATAGAGATTGGTAAGGCATAAACAACAAGCTGCTGCAGAACAACACCACTAGATGGCAAGCACAGTCCATGTGGAAAAATGAAAACCTCATTAAAAGTCTTGCCATTCCTCTATACACCAGTTCATTATTAAATTCATACAAGGCTTTCACACCTCCACCACAATGCATATCCTTGTAGTCACTTAATATAAATGTTAATGGGATTTTATAACGGCATTATACAAAAGTTTTGCAAACCAGAAAATAGCAATCTGTGTCCATCTGTGCCTTTCTTAATGTCATCCTTACAACCTACGTTTCATTATTTATGTATCTTACCTCAAATGTTATATTGAAAAACTCTCTTCAAGCACTTGTTTAATGAAGCAATGTTGTCTCTCCCTTCATATGATACCATATATTATCTGTGTGATTCAATACACCAGATTCTTTAAGTTTTGAAGAATCTCATTATTGTAAAGCTTTTCCAGATTACACTCTTTAACATTTTTCCTTTTCTCTGCATTTATCTTTGGTTTTACCGTCTTAAGGAGGTTCTAGGACGAGGTCCAGTGCGAGGTGGTAAAGGAGGTGGAGAACCCATGGCCATCTCAGGAAGCTGGGTGAAGCGAAAGGCCTTTAAATATAATAAAAGATTTTTCAATTCAAGAGTGTATTTTATTTTACTTGTTCATTTCAAAATACACAAAACTTTTCCAACGCACAGGTTTAGGCAGGCTACACTGATAAATATCTGTCCCATAAGATGGTACCCAGTGCAGGCCTTCCCGCCCAGAGCTCAGAGTGCCTGGAACACTGTTGACTACGTCTGCATTTGGAAGAGGAGGAGGCGCAGGACTGTACTGGTTAGCCGGGGACTGCTGGTGGTGGCCACGTCTTCCAGATGTGGACTGCCCCCCAGAAGCCAAGCTGAAAGCCTCCTCCAGCAGTAGGTGCATCTGCTGTCGCACTTCATAGATGGAGGGCTGTGAGCTCAGAGTGGATGTCTCTGAGTGGCCCTTGAGGCCCCGGCCATACATGTATCTTCGCGGCCCTAGAAGGTGATCAACGTTTGTCTCCTCAATTAGCTCCGGCTCAGTCTGCAACACACAAAAGACAACAGAGATGTTTTTTTTGGTAAACATATGACTCTTAATTAAATACGTAATTATATATACGTAATTATATATCATATAATAATACAATAATGTAACATATTTTTGTATATTTTATAGGGCTGCAACTAGTTTTAAAGCACTTTTGTATATCCACTCTCTCTCTTCCTATATATACAGGTCATTCTCAAAATATTAGCATATTGTGATAAAGTTCATTATTTTCCATAATGTAATGATAAAACTTGAAAATTTATATATTTTAGATTCACTGCACACTAAATAAATATTTCATGTCTTTTATTCCTATCTCACAAAATTAGCACATTTCATCCGACCAATAAAAGAAAAGTGATATTAATACAAAAAGTCAACCTTCAATTAATTATGTAAAGTTATGCACTCGATACTTGGTCAGGAATCCTTTAGCAGAAATGACTGCTTCAGTGCAGCGTGGCATGGAGGCAATCAGCCTGTAGCACAGCTGAGGTGTTATGTAGGCCCAGGAGGCTTCAATAGCGGCCTTTAGCTCATCCAGAGTGTTGGGTCTTGCGTCTCTCAACTTTCTCTTCAAAATATCCCACAGATTCTCTAAGGGGTTCAGGTCAGGTTGGATTGGCAGGCCAATTGAGCACAGTGATACCATGTTCAGTAAACCATTTACCTGTGTTTTTGTCACTGTAAGCAGGTGCCAGATCATTCTGAAAAAAATGAAATCTTCATCTCCATAAAGCTCCAAAATCTCCTGATAGCTAGCTTTATTGACCCTGCCCTTGATCAGTACCACCTGACAGTGGGTACTTCACACTGGACTTCTGGCATTCTCCCCAGTCTTCCTCCAGTCTCTGGCATCTTTATTTCCAAATGACATGCAAAATTTGCTTTCATCCGAAAAAAGTACTTTGGACCACTGAGCAACAGTCTAGTGCTGCTTCTTTGTAACCCAGGTCAGGCGCCTCTGCCGCTGTTTCTGGTTCAAAAGTGGCTTGACCTGGGGAAGGCGACACCTGTAGCCCATTTTCTTCACACGCCTGTGCACGGTGGCTCTGGATGTTTTTAATCAAGACTCAGTCCACTGCTTCCGCAGGTCCCCCAAGGTCTGAAATCGGCCCTTCTCCACAATCTTCCTCAGGGTCCGGTCACCTCTTATTATTGTTGTGCAGCGTTTTCTGCCACACTTTTTCCTTCCCACAGACTTCCCACTGAGGTGTCTTGATAGCACTCTGGGAACAGCCTATTCATTCAGAAATATCTTTCTGTTTCATACTCTCTTGCTTGAATGTGTCAATGATGGCCTTCTAGACAGCAGTCAGGTCGGCAGTCTTACCCATGATTGGGATTTTGAGAACCAGGTTGGTGAGATAGGAATATTTGGTTTTCATGAGCTGTATGCCAAAATCATCATTATTAAGACAACAAAAGACCTGAAGTATTTCAGTTAGTGTGCAATGAATCTAAAATATATGAATGTTCAAGTTCTATCATTACATTATGAAAAATAATTAACTTTATCACAATATATATATATATATATATATATATATATATATATATATATATATATATATATATATATATATATATATATATATATATATATATATATATATATATATATATATATATATATATATATATATATATATATATATATATATATATTCATGTATGACAATAGATCCTTATGTTGAAAAGTCCTGAGGATGATGCAGCCACTGTTGTGTTTGACTGTGGGTATTGTATTCTTTAGGCGTTGTTAGAAATTGTTTTTGTGTTAAACATACTGTATCTTTTCGTATTTTGTTTGCAAAACCTTGAGTCTGTTTTTTTGACAAGATTTTAGGTTTTATTAGCTAAGACTAGATGCTTTTAGATACCATATTGTGTTGAATGGTACTGTTCTATATTATGTTTCAGAGAATGATAGAGGTCTTCAACAGGGGGTCTGCGACCCCTAGGGGGTCCACGGAGGTACTGCATGGGGGTCGCGAAAGTTTTGGTTGATTAGGGTTTTTGTTTATATTCCCCGCTGCAATTTTTCACTTCACAGATTCAACACACTGTAGTAAACAGATAAATGGAGGCAGAAGATGTCTTTCAGTCATCAATGCACACATTCAGCGACACACAGGAGCTCATTCAAGCTGGGCACCATTTCGTTTCATTCACAACACCTGTCCCATCAACGAGGAATCAGAATCAGAAATACTTTAATAATCCCAGGGTGAAATTACTTTCGTTACATAACTCCATATGTAGTAGAGTGACTATAGTAGCAGTTTGATATAACACTATTTCATAAAATATATATAAAATTAGGGGGTCCCCGCTCCATCTTGCAATCAGTTTGGGGGTCCTTGGCCTGGAGACGTTAAAGACCCCTTGTCTAGACTGTTCAGATAACAAAATAAAGGATGTAAAACCCCAACAGCTTCTGAGGAGCCTCTGTAAGCAGTTCCTGTATTTTCCTTTCATACATACAACGACCCCCATTCCAAATGGGTGGAACCTTTCGTCTGTTCCAATTTCCATGTTTTCAAAACAAAAACAAGGCTTTCTTGGGCTACTGTATAAAACCCCAAACTCAACGCTTTTCCTGACATTTTAAACTGAAAAAGCTTCCTGGATGGGAAGCAAAACGTCTTCAAACTCGAAAACAAAGTCCAGTGGATTGTTTTTAATTTTCTTTTTTTGGAATGACTATGACCTGGATGACTGAGAACCTTCACACGCAGTTGGGGATTATAATTATTTTCCTGACTGATGCCATTTTTAAATGTATTCATTTTTATTCCTTTGAAACCATATTTCTGCTTGAACTGATTTTCTATAACTGATGACAGATGCCAACTCAAGAAAACTCAATGTTTGAAATTAGCCCAGAAAAGTACTAGTTAAAGGGTATGCACACATGAGATTTTTTTTGATGTCCACATAAAGTGAACACACTAAACGCCATGTGAAAAGGGTTTATTTTTCCATTTTGTTGCATCAACATAACAAAAACCTGGCATCTAAACAGGGTTGCATAGCAGTGTTTGTTTTCTTAACCAATTTAGTGTATATCTGGTCATACTTTTTGTCATACTAGGTCCATCTATAGTATACCAATACAGTGAGAAATTTTATAGAATTTGAGGCTGTCCTACTTCCTGTGCAAAAAAAGAGAGCAGCCACAGTAGAGCCAGCCCAGAGCACCGAATAAATCAGACCTCCTGGAGAAGCAGAAAAAAAGAGCCTTGAATCTGCAGCCAGAGCAGTCCCTGTGTATTCACAAAGGCCAGGATTTAGAAAAACTCATTGCAAACCAACACATGATAATGGAAGGGTATGAAATATATTATTTTCTAAAGGATGAGTCAAAATTCCTCTATAATTTAATCCTTTTGACTGTGAGTTATTTTGTTGATGCTCAGACCGTAATAGACATTAAATGCCGTTCATGTCTAAAACTAAAAATGGCAACAGCAGTTTTCATATATGCTCCATTCAATTTAGACAGTTTAGAATGTAGAGGCCAAGGGTCAACTCTACCTATATTCAGGGAAATATTTCCAACTCTCCATTTGAGCCTAAACATATTCAGATTCAAAAACCACAAAAGCTGTACACAGAACCATGATGGAAAAATATCAGAATAGAGAGAGAAGCCGTTCAGCTGCAGATGCATTGTATATCAAACAGCAGAGCTTTTTAAATCTTTACTTTTTATCATACATAATTAATTTCTCTGCTCACAGTTTGCTGAGCACTTCTAGTGACACCAGAAGAGAACAGGTGATGTATAGTTCAGCTTGTATACTGAGTCTCACAGGATTTCATAGTGTTCATACTTTCAATATCTGGTTTTCTACTAGACTATTCATTGTATAACTATGGAACGTATTTTTCAGTGTTGCTTGATTAATTGATTGGGACATTTTGATCACAATACTTAGGAAAAAACATTAAGCCCATCTTAAAAAAACATATTGGTATATTTCCAGGTCAATATTTAATCAATCCAAATTCCCCATGTCAGCTATATGTGTGCAACATCACCATTACATTTTTCTGTGTGTACATTTACTGGATGTGACAAAATGCACATGTAAAAGCACACCTTTTTAATTTAAAAATCAGAGTATTGTTTTGTAGCTGGTTTTGAGGAGTTTGAGGCATCTCACAATGCCTGCAGTGCTCCCACAGTGCTAACTTAATAATGGCTCTTAAAAATAGTGATGTCTTTCAGCTACTAACTAGCTTATTTTCTTGGGCTCAAACAGCTGGTACGTGCTGACATGTGCCTTACATCATAGCCACTGTTGCGGATGCCTCTTCTGGGTCTATCTCTCATTACAAGGAGGTCCATCTCTGTTCCTCCAGGACTTGGGCTGCTTAGACTTTGTCTGCTGCGATAGGCCATCTGTCCGACCTGAGAATGCCTGCCAATTAGAGTAAATGCAGTGAATGCAACACAATTCAAGCCTAAAGCAAAAAACAATTCTTTATTTAAAGCATTCTGGTTGTCAGGTCAATGTTACATGTGCCTGTGGCTAAATAGGTAAAAAGAGAACCATGTAAAGTACATTACTTTTTTTTCTGCTTCAGGCATAATGTACAAGGTAAGGAAAGTAATTGGAATCGATTTGAAAAGGCCACTAGAAGGGGTTCAGACAAAAAAGGATAATATTTCAAGTGAAACAATATGTTTCTAGTTGCATTATTCTTTTAGTTTAGCTATTATATTAACTGAAAAAAATATTTATTTGTTAAGTTGGAGTGTTGTTAAAATGCAAATCCAATCTTCTCTGGGTCAACAAATAGCTTCAGCTTTAATTTAAAATCCACTTGCATCTAACGACCCAGCTTAACTTTTTTTTTAACCTGATCCTAATCAGGGTTCAGCTTTTAAATATTTTTATCATATAAGTTATTTTCGTCTAGACATACAAATGGCTTAGTGCATGCTGAAGGTTTCAGTTTTTGCTTAGCAATCATCAGCAAAAAAACAGACATCAATCCGATGAAGCTGAACAACAGTGTCATGGAAAATATTCACTCTGAGTGTATTTTGTTTAGATTTTCTGTTAAAGACCAACACAAAGGAGTGCACAGTTGGAAAGCGGTAGTAATATGCACATGGTTTTCAATATTTACAAATAGAGATCTAAAATGTTTGGTGTACATCTGCTTTCATCCCTCTAAGTCAATAGTGTTAATACTTCAATAACCTTGACTGAATGAACCAAAGCATGGCCCCAGTATGTCATAGTTCCATTTCGGAAACCCATTGGAGATCTGGCAAGGGTGGTAATCCCCTTATGCAGATGAAAAAAAGAACGGTCCACACAAATAAAAGCTTGTTTGGCAGATTCTAATACAGTCATCTTTAGTATAAGAAGTTTAATAAACTTAGATGAATTTGTATTTAAAACTACTATTTTTTCTTAAAATGATTGCATTGTTTCTTGAATTGAGGAAGTAAGTGAGGCTTTGCCAATGGAACAAGAAAATTTACATTTAAAATGCGAAAAAAATAATTGCATTGTCTTATTTTAAGTGCATATCATCTAATTATCTTATTTTAAAAGTAAAAAAATCCTCACTCCATTGGCAAATCATCTTATACACCTACTCAAATCAATAATTAATACACTTAATTTAAGACATTTTTACCGATTTCTATATCATTTTTGCAGTGATCCCTGACATCTATACAAAAGGAATTCTCTCGATATTTGTTTATTTCTAGAGTGCATGGATTCTAGTGTTCACAAGCACACTAGAATCCAAAATGAACTGTTTCTGCTTGAACTGACTGACCTTAAATGGATTGGGTAATCATATTGCAGTAAGGCAATACATGGATTGTAAGCGTGATGAAAGTAAGAGCTGCCCAGCCCACTTCTGAAACAAAATAAACATGGCAGCGTGGGAGGGTGTAGTCGTAACTGCTACTATCAAATCTGTTGTGACAAAATCATCTTTGAGATAGGAACAGCAAAAACTTTACAAGCATAATTTGTTTTGTTTTCCTATGGCGTATAATTAAATGTTCATTTGTACAGGGTTACAATACAACACTCATGTATTCCAGACACCTGTTTACATTTGTGAAGAAGTTTTCTTGTAGATTATTAAACTTAAAGTCTTTCTTAAACTTTCTTGAGCCTTAATATCTGTTAACACAATTAAAATAACTCAGCCCTTACCTTCCATGAGCCTTAACAAATGTGGACCCTTGCTCATCGTCTGGCTCCAGGGGTCTGCCATCTTCACCAGATTCTTTTTCATAGTCGTACCACTTTTTCTGCACCAAGGCTCGACCTCTGCTACTGCTACCATTAGTAGATGGGAAATCATAATAACCTTTCTTCTTAGCTTTTAGCCTCAGCTTGTTTCTGTAGTGCTCGATGTCCGATTTCTGCTTCAGTGCCAAGTTAACCTAAAGAGTGAAGATATCAATGAATGCAACTAAAGACAAGATGATAAAAACAGAATACTCATAATGCTCATTTTGCTTTCTCAGATTTTATGTAAATATGATTAAACTAAATCATTAAAGTACATATTCTTTGTTTTCTTGTTAAACAAAGATTCATGGGTTAATATGTTTTCAGACAGACAATAAAGTATCTACCTTTTTTTTCCGACATGTACAATAATAACTATATAGCTATAAAAATACAAACTCAACATAAAAGGCCTGATCTTCAGAAGGTTTGAGTATCCTAAAGCATGTCTAGATGTGTTTGTAAGCGCAGAGCGGATCTTTAAAGAAGGCGCAAAATGATTTGCATCTGCAATCCAGCTGACAGAGTGTGCAAAGTGTTTTTTCCCCTGTGTACCTTCATTCATATGCCAAACATATTATAATAAACGAACTGCAAATTAATGGATGGAGGAACTGGAAATGTAAACATTTACCACGTATAAAGCGGTTTTCTAAATCTTTAACTCAACTGTGGCTGTATTTTTTGCATCTTTTTTAAAGTGAGGTGCAAACTGACATGCAAAACCTTTTTACGGTAATTTGGCCTTAAAGGAGGCATTGGTACAAGTCCAGAGGATGGAGATAGATTCTTTTAGCCTCGTGAGACCATCCTGATCTCGCGAGCTTTCAAGATTTCACTCGCTAATCAGTCTGGAGACTCTCCGTAGAAGAAAATTTGGAGCCGTTCACCAAACGAATGTCCAATCAGCGTTGGCTTTGAGGCGGGTTGAGGTGTGACGCAACGAGAAGAGCGACAGTTCAGTCTAAAGAACATGGCGGCTTCAGCTGATGAAACTAGCGTTAGCGTGGCTATCGAGCAAGTTTTATCGGAATTACAGAGTATTTCTTCACTGGAAGAAGAGCAAAAGACTGCTCTGGAGGCTTTTCTCAGAGGAAAAGATGGTTTCGGCAAGAGTAGCCTGGCTGTTAGTACGTCATATGCTTTGTTGATCTGATTGGTTTATTTGGCCCATCTATCACCAACATAGGCCAATCAGCTAACCAGTATTTTCGCCCCTTCCCAAAATTACTTCAACCGAAGGTTTCCAGATGGATATACGGAGCAAATCCATCTGGCGGAGACAGGTTAAGATTCTTTATGCATGTAAATATAATAAAGAAATATTAATAAAGAAAAACAACCTACACGGGCCAGCACAAATTCATACAGCGGGATGTCAAATAATCTTCACACAATTAAACTAAAATGAAAAAAGTGACTGAACTAATGTACAGTAGCATGTTTATAAAAAACAATGGAATATCAAAAGAGCTTGTAAAGATAGATGGGGTGAAATTACACATCTCTTATTCTCTTACTTGCCCAACAGTGACTTATTTCTCCCTCAATGGTCTTTAGTGGTTTCTGCTCAAAGTTATGTTGTATTAAAATATTATGGGTCTCCCTCATTCTGCAGTAGATGGTGAAAATCCAGATCTTCATAGTCGAATCTGCTGTATATCTGACTCCTCTGTTCGGGAGGAATGGCATTTTCTATTTTTTATTTCTAACTTAAACTTTTGTTATTTTCATTGCTTTATTTTTTACGACCTATGTAAGGTGCACTGTAAATATTAGTATTATCATTGTTATGTTTTTAATAATTATTATTATCAACGCCATTATTAAACCTTATCTTTTCTTTTGCAGCCATTTTCAAACTGCCTGTGGAACATGCAAACCCCTCATTATGATGAACCTAACAGGTCTCCATGCCTTACCATTGGAGCAGTAGTCTTTGTACCCACAACACCCCTACTTATTGCATACAAAAAAAAAGTTACACACAATTTAGCACCCCTATCTGGAACTTTTGAACATAAGGCCCAAAGTGTTCCAATGAAAGAAAATCACAAAGTCCTTCTTCCAGAATCGCAAAAAACAAGCAAACAAACCAACAAAAAAATCAAAGTGATAGTAATGAAATATCAAAGGCTCTGACAATTCTGTCCTTTACTTTGGGTTCAAAATGCATACATGGGTGTCAGCATAAACGGACGTATACATCTCTGCATATAACGGTGGTGAATTGTCACTAAAATATTTTTAGTGTTAAAGAACATATTAATCATATTTAAATGTGTTTAGGAAGATAAATTATCATCTACAAGTAGTAGTTAAATAAAGAAAAAAACTAACCAATGGCATTGTAAACCTACCCAGATTGAAAAACTCATTATTTACCTTCTCATCTTTTTCAATCATTTTAGATGGTGGCATTAAGTGTTGCTGTGTGCGATGTTTTAGCCTACTTGATGCTGGCTTAGTGGTTTCTTGCCTCTATAAGTGTGACAGTAATCAGACCTGGTTGAGACTGTTTATGTTGAAATATAGACTTTGGAAATAACATTCAATTTAAGCAATTAGTTTTCACAAAGGGCCATATAAGTGATTAATTATGATTAATTATTCTTTGCTATTGATAAATGAAATAAAAATGAACTGAAAATGCTTTTTGTTTTGAATTTAGTTATACTTTTCTCAAACTAACACTGTTGATGACTGAAACTTTTAAAATGTGATGTTAAAATAAATCTTTAGATTGGCTAAAAGGGTTTTAAAGCATTGTACCTGCAAATATTAATCATGCCCATTGGACATTAACTTCTGTTTAAATGCGTGAGGTTACCTCACCTCTCCATTGACAATGACTGAGTCCTGGCTGCGATCGGATAATGCAGGGTGGGAGCAGTTTGTCTGTGCTGTAAGTGGCTTTATGGAAATGAGCTGCAGGGAACCAGAAGATGTGTCGTATTGGTCTGAAGAACAGAGAAGAAGTTCACGATCAAAGAGACAAAAAAAATACCAATAATCATTAGGGTATCAATCAAAGCAGGATTCCTACAGAAACCCTGTCAGCCACTGGTTTCTGGATTGTGTTACATAAAAGTATTCTGTCTCAGTAAATGAAGCTGTTGACAGAGACAATAGATCACAAGGACAGCCTTGGCTTCCAGTGTTGTGGCAATGCATCTGTTTGATAAATGAAAGAAACTGACACAGCACTTTTATTCTTTATCCAACATCAGACGAAATAAGATTCAGTTCCAGTTTTACTTAACTCAGCTGATAAATTATTCAGATCTAGCCATAAGAAAGACAGAATCTAACAGTTTGGATCAAATCTACAAGTAGAATAAAGGGAACAGGATATGACTTGCGCCCAACACATTAACAGCATTTAGCCTCAGAAGAGGGGACATAAAATGCCATTATTAAAAATACCACTGAATTTAGTGGAACACATGTTGTGAGGCTTAACGAGGTCTTTCTGAACTTTTGATGTTGAGTCTAAGAACATGTGTACAGTATGTGTGTGTGTATATGCTGACGGTGGTTTGTCAAAGTACCCAGCAGCTTAATACACCGTATCGTCTCAGCAAAGTGTCTGTCTTATGCATATTCATGTACCACCTGGGAGGCTACCTTTATGACTACGGAAAAACTGCAGTGCAGGAACGTTCTTTTTAAATGACCCATTGTGTGGTGGAAAACCTTAAACAATGCAAATCCCTTTGTACAAAAAGGGATATATATGTATGAGTGTGTATATGTGTGCATTTAATGGTAGAAAGAACCATTTGTATTTTCATCTATCTGTGACTCTCACCGTCCCTCCTGTGGGTCTCCTCCTTTGTCAGTTTTTGCTGCGCTTTGACTTTGGGCACCGTCAGGCCCCTCTTAGAATGCACCCTCTCTGATTCGTCGCTGATGACGGAACCATCTTCACTTGGCAACTTACTGCAAGTAACCATAGCAACAGGAAAGGCGGTGAGCTCTCAGGAAGCTGGGCTGGTAGCCAGGTTATGTCATCCCTTCCCTTTTATAACCTCACCTTTTCCCTCTACTCCTCAAAAGCTTGTATCCATAAATTAATTTTTGTTGAAACAAACAAAATTGATGACAAAATTATTTTCCTTACCGCTAATGATATCACTTAGACAGTGAAGTTGTGTAACTGTGTTATACAACTTGCATGTTGTTTTTGATATCGCATGGTTGAAATGATATGTAATGTTACAAATTTCAAAATGCTTTGTCATATTTTTTTTATAAATGAAAAATATAACAGCTGTGGTGTGCTATTAGGAAATACAAAAACAGAGCATTCATGTGTAAGCAGCATTGTTTTATTTTTTAGCCTAAGGAAATTAAAACAAATTGTGAATCTTTTGATGCAAAATGACGCAAAATTGCACAAGTTCTACATTTTTTCAAACTACAGGTATTCACATGTCGTAAAGTTAAACATGCTTTAAGTGTTTTTTCAACAACATGCATTTGTGTCCTAAGTAAGCCATAAGTCTTCACAAATTCTCAATTGGAATAAGCTTTATTGGCAAAGTTTGTTTAGAAAAGCAAGGAGGTTCACTACTGTTTCCAGCGCACACATCATATCAACATTAGTTGAACATTATACCTTTATTGGAAATATGAAAAAAAAAAAAGGAAATATGAAAAAAAGGAAACAGTTGTGGTATGTATGTGTGTGTGCATAAACCGCATGTTTCATCATATAAGACAGTTTTTAATATTTAATTTAATTAGTTTTTAATATCATATAAGACAGACAGTTTTTAATATTGGTGAGGGGTGTCATTTTATATATATATACTGTATATATATATATATATATATATATATATATATATATATATATATATATATATATATATATATATATATATATACTGTATATATATATATATATATATATATATATATATATATATATATATATACAGTATATATATATACTGTATATATATATATATACTATAAATATATATATATATATATATATATATATATATATATATATATATATATATATATCATATCTCAGAAGATGAGTACAAGGAAATTTTAAATACATACATGGAATTTAGTAAATAAATAAACAGTTAAAGAAAGGAATGAATAATATTCACAGTCTAATCCCAGCTGTTGCTGCATTACAGCAGGGATCCTTGTGATGTCGCCAACTGACAAACAAAACTTTCCACTTAACAAATCAATGTAAGTTAATGACCAAGTTGCTGGCTGGATTTCATTCTTCAAACTTGGATCTGTTTTCTGTGCAATCATTGAACACAGTATGCAGCGACAAATACAATCTGTGTTTGATCTTTCTTTCAATGCATCTGCAGGAAAGCACTGGACCAAATACCAAACAGAGCCAGGATTTCAAATCAAGCTAAAAGCTCAGCTGAACCGAAGCTCTGTGCTTGTTTCGTTTGTTGTTTTTCATTAGATAATACCTTACTAGAATTTGTTTTTATGTAAATAGTAAAAATTTAAGTTACTAACTGGGTTTTGGGAAACTTAAAATGAGTTAACCTGCTATAAACGTTATCGTTAGCCAGCAGTGACCCAGATGTGTTCCCACACATCCCTCTGTCTATCTGTCAGCAGTGCACCACTGAAGTATCTTTTTAAGTTTCCCTCCATCAATTAAATAGTTCTTGACTAATTTTTGACCATTCACAAGACTGATCAAAACAGAATTATAAAGGGTGCTGCTCATAACATCATGGACATATTTTTCTAAACCTGCCACTGGAAGTTTATGGAGGCTTTGTGGACCTCTTTGCTTGAAAGTACAAACTTAGCAATGTCCAAAGACAGTGCTGCTGAGGCAGCTGAGTACAGGATGACTAACTATGTATGGAGCTTGTGTCTGAGTGAGTTGTATATATATTGAATACTGGTCTTTGATGATGAAAGCCTGTACCAGCATCTACTGTTGCAAAAACTCAACTGAGCTGTTTTACCACTTAGGGAATCACTAATATTCAATGTGAAAAAAAAAAGAAAAAACACAAATACACATTAAAGTAGCACCAATATGCCCAGTTCTTACTGTTCATTTGCAAAAAAAAAGGTCAATGTTAGCTTAGTTACTCTTAAACTGTGATATCAAACAATCTTACTGTCAAAGTTTTTCAGACTTTTTTTTGTTTGTTTTCCCTTTCTACTTTTAACGTAAATATTTCATTAGTATTTTGTCACTCTTTTCGTCACATTTTAAATAGCAGTTAAAGTTGAATTGTACTAGCCTAGGTAAAGAGTTGCTGAATAAAAACTGATTAACTTGCTTCTGTGGAAAAAGTTGTATATTTTTATTTTAATATTTGTATATTTATATTGTTGTGATATACTGTTTGAAGATTTTGCTGTTTGAGATCACTTGTGCTTGAATCACTCCATCTATTTTGCTAATACTATGAACAGGGTAATACTTGACAAACCAAAGGTTATTTGCTTAAATATTAAGTAGCATAAATGCTTTTGATTGCCCAACACTTTTAATGTTTTATGAACATTAAAGCAGCTGCTGATCAAGTAGCAGCCGGTCATCCCCTTGGCTCTACACTTGGTAAGCTGCAGAGTATATTGATTGTTTGAATCATTAACAGGATTCATTATTATATATCTGACACTAAATTCTGGCCTCTACATCCAATGATATAAGGTTTAGAAGTCTAAACTATTTTAAAGCAATGTGCATTATAATTGTATCATATTACATTAAATACATGTTTGTTTTCAAGGGATTCTTTGCTATGGAAAATGAGACAAAACTTTAAAGGTAAAAAACCTTACCATACTGTAGCAAAACCTTGAGCTCTAACAATGACTGCTTCAGCAATACTTTCAATATAATAACTGCTCGGAAATAATCCAAAAACAAAAAGCTAAATTGCTTTTTTTTCTACCATATTGGTAATTTCTTCACCTTTTCTTGTATGTTGATAAAAACAAATTTGTAGATACAAAATTCAACATTACAGCTTGGGCACAGTTTTGAAAAAACAAAGAAACAGAAAAAAATAACACCTAATAAGGTTACCAACATAAACAAAATGAAAATCGGGAGTATCTTACCTTTTATGTTTTTCAGCTGTGAGATTTTTCTTGTTGGCCGTCCCGTCTTGATGCAGCGCCTTTTCTAGTGACAGCGATGTGTCCCGAATTTGAAGGGACATCACTAAAGTATCCTGACTGACAGGCAGTGTCTCCTCATCTCCTCCCTGCTGGCCCAGGTGCTGCTTGGCATAGTCGAATCCCTGGACTGGCTGATGTAAAGAAAGAATGGAGAATGAAAGATGAGTGTTCATGAGTTTTCCTGTTACTCTAAAAATGTATTTGACTACAAAAGATTAAAAGAAAAATTAGTCCAGCTTCTCCAGCAGTACATGCATAGATAAGCATCTAAGCATAGCTGCAAACAGCACTTTTAAAAGTTTTAAAAAAGGAAAACTCTGATGCATTTAAGTTAATGCAGAGCAATTGTTCTGTGGCTCCTCATTTTCTTTCTGTTTCTGGTTAAACGGATAAATAGAGGTAAAACTCCAAAAAGCAGTTGTCAAGTAAAAGGCTGTTTCTGTGATTAGGTTAAGCAAGATACAAGATAATCAACAATCAAGTGTGCCTGAATAGACAACTACTAAGACCAATTTAGACTGAAAATTTCACAACTACTGGGTTACAGATTCATAAATTATCTGACACACATTCTGGCCTGATAGCAGCTGGAGCAAACTGAAAAATCTATGTGTTCTACTACCCTGAAGGGTGATCTTTTTTAGCATCCACACACACTCACACCCACACTCAGGGTTTTATTCAAAGTGCTGCTCTAGCTAGTCTAGCAGGAAAATGCACTAACAAGTAGGATGAAAGGGTTGGAGAGGACATAGTGTGAGGTTCTTGTTTAACATTTTAGGAGTCACCATCTCTCTGCATTTAAGAATTTATCTTTGCTTTTTCTTTACTTATCGACAAATATTGGTAGAACATAAAGAAGAATGTGTGGTCTGTAAGGAGGTTTAATGTTTTTAATATTCAATAAAAATAATTTTAACAGCTCCCTTTTTTTTTTTTTTTACAAATTGAGATAGCAGGATCTTTATATGTGTGAGGTAACTGCTCTGTGGGCAGAACCTGAATGCTTCATTAGTTTCTACTTTTTTGCACTCTGTCTTATAAATTAATCTATAGCTCAAGTGATGAGGGGTGTATAATGGTGTATAATGGTTATGTATTATCCAGGTGCAGAATTTTATATATTGTTAAAACATTTTACAGTACAGTATTCTATTGTTTATCTTTTAACTCTTCACTATTATGTTATTCTCATACATTTTTCTAAGGTCCACATTGTGCGACAATTTTCCTATAATCTTTTTGCTACTGTAAACACCAGAATTTCCCCATTGTGGGATAATAATGGTATTTGTTCTATTCTATTCTATTCTATTCTATTCTATTCTATTCTATTCTATTCTATTCTATTCTAATAATGCTATATTATAACCTCTTTGTAAAAGGCATAATTTAAAATCCTGCTATTCAGAGAGCTATAACTAGAGGAACAGACTAGTTAGTTTTGTTAAAAAATGTAGTGTTCTCTGCTCAAAATCGCATTCAAATCCAATGGCTGGAAGAACATTGGAAATCAAGACAGATTACAAAAGAGAAGACATATAAAGAACTGGATACCTGGTGATAATAGCTCACATCCCTCCGATATGCCATCTGAAAACATAGAGGAATACTTTTAAAAAGTGCAAATGAGGTTAGTTTGTCCTTTAGATAATCTAAGATTCTTTCCCAAACAGCACAGAAAATAGCAGAGTTTAGATAATGTGCAACAAAAAAACTCATTCAGTGCTGTAATGAAGGATTTCTGCATTATAGACTGTATTTTAAGCATGTTTAAAAAATATTTGTTCTTGAGATTGAGAGCTAGTTAAGAATCATAATGAAAGAAGAAAATAAGGACAAGGCTGCTGACAATTCAATCCAGTGTTGAAGTTACATTTGAAGCAGCACACCAGCTTGGATAAAGATGTACCGACGGCAGAGATTATGTTATGTTTCTTATCTACAAAGAAGAGTCTGAGGTCTTTGTCATGATCTTGGCACTGATGACTGGCTTAATGGTTCATTCCACTCACCTGTCTACCTCCCCCCATTTTCTCAGCACTGTCCATCTGTGTCACCTGCTCTAATTTAAACTGCTTGCTTCTAGTCATCTGTGCCAGATTATTCGAGCCTTTGGTGAGAGTCCTCTGGCGTAAATGTTTGTGTTCTGATTGCCTGATCCTGACCCATTTTGTCTTCGGACATTTGAGGCTGTTCAGATCTGTTTGCCTGACCTGTCTTCTGACTCCTGCTGGATTCTGCCTCCTGACTTCGACCTGGATTTCCTTTCAGTACCTCTTTGGATCTTGTGGCCTGGACTCCTGTGAACCTCTTTGACACTAGCTTTGGCTCTGTCTTTCAGAAAGCCTAGCTTTTCTTTGTCTGCTTGGATCTGCTCGTCATCCAGTTCTGCAGTGTTCAAGGCTTTGGCTCCTGGATCTCTCTGGGCAGTGGTGCATGCTATTCACAGCCATTCAGCTGGATTCCACTACTTCCCTGGACACGGACCGAGCTCTAAGACCAGGTTAGCGATTCGTCCTCCTCCACATTACGCCCTAGCTGCAGAATTGCAGATCCGACATCTCTTAATAAACACTTTTAAGAAGTATGCCTGTTTGTTTGCTTTGAATTCTGGGTCCTTTGTTCTGAGCCTTCACTGACAAACCTAACAGTCTCCACTACCTACTTTCTGTGTGACCAATGAGACTCCTCTAACAACTCTACCAATAACAATAATATTTTTTTTTTCATATTAACTATTGCATTAACATGCATGCACTGTGTGATCATGGCCTCCTCTTCAGGATGCTGTTTGTGCCTTAGTCTGTGCAGAGGGGTTCTTTGTACAACCAAGACTCAAGCTCCAATAAATCTTCAGTACAGTTTGTTGTCTGCCCCACATCAACGCTTCACTGAAACCCAACATAAAATCTTGTATTGTACTGTAACCATTCAGTTGCTGCAAACAACAGCAATTATCATTCAGCTAAAGATTCTATCAAACCAATAAAAGCTAAATTAGACCATTTAGTAAGCATTACAATTGACATCACTCATTACATCACTAAAGCTGTTATAAACTGATAAATAGAGGTAAAATTACCTTGGCTCTTGGGTTGAGATTACCAATTGCATCAGCTTTAAAGTCATTCTTGTTCCTCCTGCACAGCACAGCTGTGATGATGATAATAACGAGCGTTACCACTGAGATTGGAGCCAACACTGCAGCGATTATCCAAAGGTTATTAGGAGGGTTCTTGACCACAGCTGAAAAAACAGGAAGATGGGTTTTACCATTTCTTCATGGAAAACAATAAAAACAGTTGGTTCACAAGTGAATCAACTGCAAAGATAATACAACGGTACAGATGTGAGAAAAAATTAAATGCAGTACATTAAAACATGTAGAATGTAAGTCACCCAAGACGAGTTACATTGTGCCAAGTGTGACATACAGAATTCAGCTACTGTAGGAAATGATCAATAAGAGAGGTGCTGGTGCTAAGCCTTTCTCCCTTCTGTTTCCCTGTTGGAAGTTTGCAGATCTGCAGCCAAAATACCTACTGTCCCAATGGGAGCATTTCAGAGAGATTAAAAAAGCTCATCACCCCTACACCAGCTCTTGTTTTTCAATTCGAATAATTGTTTTCATTTGCCTTTCTGTGAGAGTTTGGAAGAAAAAATGTATTTCTAGTCAAACATGAGGAAAAAAATTAGGTGCTTACGCTCGGCTTGCACCTGGACAAAGTAGCCTAAGGTGAGTGCCATGGTCTGAGAGTCTACTGTGTTCAAGACTTTGGCAGATGAAGTGCCTGACAGAGGAATGCCATTGTGCTGGACGTAGTAGGTCATCTCTGCTGGATTCTTTATCCCGGACACTCTGCGGATGCTCACCATCTAGTTGAAGACATCAAGACATGTCCTGTTATTAGCCATATCACCCTCAAAAATAGTGCTGAATGCTGTGGGTTAAGTAATTAATTACATTTTTGCGTCATTCTGGTTAAAAAGCCACTCTGAACTGCTGAAAGCACTAGTTTAGTGAAACATATTTGGATTGTTTTGATAGACAATTAGCAAATGAGCTGAGAGGCTCCCTAATTATGAGGGACTGACCACAAGCAATCATTCCAAGTGTTGCCAAAGTGTTCATCAGACTGCACTTGGAATTAAATATTTATAAAATTAGAAAGAAGCTGGCATAAACAATTTGATTTCACTGACTGATCATTAATATGCAACGGCAGTTTGATAAAACATTAAAGATATAAAATAAGCAGATGTTCTCTAATTCTGCTGTTTTTGTACCTGGACGGTGAAGCTGCCAACAGTTGTGGCTCGTCTAAATCGGGTGCCCTGCTGCCCCGCCAACACAAACAGCTCCGCCAAGCGCTGCTCCATTAGACTGGCAAAGCTTTGGTACTGTCCGTCCAGGCTGACACTATCGACATCCTGGATCACTGCAAGTTCAGTCACAAGACAGAGACTTAATAGTGGCGATGGATAACAAAACTGTTCTTGAGAACAAAAATAAAGAAGGGGCAAGAAGAAGGTAATAATTCTATTCATTTGTCCTTCAGCTTTACATAAAATGTGCAGAGAAAAAAACCTAGAGGGAATCTAGTAAAATATGTTGAGTGTTTCTATTTTTGGAAATTGAGTTGCTCCTAAAAAGATATGGCCTAAAAAATTTACAATATTCAAACTCCAATATTACTATAAAAAACTTATGAACTAGGAAATGTGGGTGCTTCATAGACTCCTTACTGTAATGGTCTGGGGTTATTTTTAGTCTTTTAATTTACTTTTGCATGTTTGCTTTCTCTTCTGTTTACTTTATGAATTTTGTTTGTGTTTTAACCTTAAGGCTGTTTTTTTTTTTTACTGGTCTTGCATTAGTCTGATATTTTGCCATAAGTAGTTTGCAACATTATTGTGGTTCTTTTATCTTTTGGTCAAATCTTTTTCAAGTATATTTCTCTTGTTTTTTTGTTTTTCTTTCTTTAAGCTGGTTTTGATTCAAATATAGTTATCTTTATAGGTTCTCTCTTGTGTGTTTAACTTTTTACCACTGTGTAGGCCTTTCTCACTCAATCAAACGCTTCACTAATAAGTAGATTCAGTTCACCTGCTTTCCTCATTAGCTGCACATGTGCTCTCCTCTACTTAAGTTGTCATTTGTCATTCTCTGCATTGTTTTACTCTGCGTCTGAAACTATTCTTAATTATCTGCCAACCCACTTCCATGTCATCATGTTATGTTCCTTTTTGTCAATGTTTCCTCATTATGCCACTCCAATTTAGTTTCATGCAATTTTTTCCACAAACACAACCCTGAAACTTAGCCCTCATCACAACAACAGATAACTTGGAAATGAACACAAAGCCTTGATCCTCAACAAAGGACTGCTCTCTTTCAATGTGAAATATTGGCGGATTGTCACATGAACATTCCTGTCGGTGCAAGAATGATACCTGCAGCCTAATTGAACAGACAAGGTAAACAGAAGTAGTAAAGTAGCCTTGCTAGTATGATAAGGTTGGACCTAATCATGACTTATAATGTTCTTTAATTCCTTGATAATGGAAAGCTGCTTAAACTGGTTGATCTACTAAAATGTGACAAGTTGTGAGATTCAAATGACGACATTCAGAAGCTGGAATAATTCCCCTTAAATCGATCGTGCTTAACAGACCACCTGGATGCTTTGTTTCAGAGAAGGCTGGTCAGGATTTAGACCAACATTTATAAAGATTCTCACAGTCCTGTCAAAGAGTTGCTATCTTAGTCTAAAAATTCCTGCCAGGGAGTTTTTCAATTGAAGGGATGAGGTTTTTTTATCTGCTTTTACCACCAGCCTGGAAAGTGAGAAATGCTAGCTGCAGCGATCCCAAAGAAAGATGCTATCACACATGTAAATGACCATTAAGGCTATGGATACTGACATCAATAAGTATCACAAGGCTTTCTCAGCAGTTTAACTTCTTCCTTATATGCAAAGGTCTATCATCTAGAGGTTATCTCACTTTATCTTGACTATTGTTTACATTTATTAATATTTGTCTGCAACATTTTTCAATTTTAAATTTTTTTTTTAACTATTTAGAGCAGTATACAGTGTGCAACATATTTTTATTAGTTTTATTATCTCTACCTCTCAACCTTTCAACTCTTTATTCATGATTGTTCAATTTTTGCTTTGAACTTATTTATCATTAATAAAATTACCTTTAACCATTCCGGCCACTATAGCTATTCCATTCCTTCCTGTAGTGATAAAGTTAATGTAAAGTTTACATGCTCTTTTATTCTGCTATGTACATTAGGTTGAGGATCGGCCAAGTTGACTATTTGTTTTTAACATATTCTATGCTTCAAACACTCTTAGGCTACGTTCACACTGCAGCCTGAAGTGATCCAAATCAGATGTTTTTTGCCCACATGCGACCTGGATCTGATCTTTTCATGGCTGTCTGAACAACACAGATCTGATTTTTTTTCCAATCCAACCCAAGTCACTTTTGGCTATGTGGTCCTTAATCCGATACGAATCTGATCTTTTAAAATGCGACCTGCGTCTGAACGGCCAGGTCGCATTCATCAGACCTTAACACCATTACTAACCGACATAGATATTCTACTAGTCATGTTTATATGCTTAGCAAAACTATTTTGCAAGGCCCTTTCAGTTTAAAAGGGGGATTTTATTTTCCAATCAGCGCAGTGGTATTTACCTACCTGTTACTACCCAGAAGTCTCTGGTTTCAACAGATGTGTTCAGATTGTGGTATTCAAGTGCTGCAAAAAGAGAGAAACAAAACAGTAACTAAAAGTCCCACTGATATTTTAATCTGTAATCTTGTGCCCTTGTCTTTAAAGTAATAACATTTAAAGTATTTCAAAAAAACAGATCACAGAGATTTAAATTTTAATGTTTATTCGATCTCTCATTTGAGTTCTAGGTTGACACATATTTTATATCTGAGAAACAACTTTTTATCATTGTGCAAAAAACATCACAATAGCAACAGTTTAATTTTCCAATATTTTTTTCTTTTTTTAATCTTAGTTCAAAGCCTCACTATCTTTGAATATCAGACAAACAGAAAAGAAGATGTGTTAAAGCCATAGAAGGTCTGATTGTCTTTGTATTCTCTTACATCTATATTTCCTGCCTGATTATGCTCCTATGCCAGTGGTGGAGTGTGGTGGGGTGGGGGCTGGCGGAGCAGTGTTTGGATGTTGCATCAGTGGGCTGTGAAAGCTGGCTTGCAGAAGTGTACACATAGACATGATGGACGGAAATGGGTGGGTGGTGAAAGAGTGAGCGGGAGAGCAATGGTAGACGGGTCAGAAACACTGCCAGCAGATTCTGCTTATGGCATTCCCTTATTCGAATCATGTGGAAAAGAAATCCAAAAGATGGAGCCTAGGTGAATAAACTATTAAAGGAATGTATGAGATTTAAAAGAAATATCAAATCCCCTATATTGTCTAATTCACATAATTGCCTTTTTAATTGCAGGCAATTTTTTTCCCTTCACTCATACTCCACCAGAGAGAAATTGCTGAAGAGCGTTGAGGGAGTAAAAGAGCTGAACACTGCAGTCCGGTCCACACGAGCCACATAACACTAACCTGCAAGCAGGCACTTTAAACCTGTTTGAGACCCTGGGTCTGTTCTATAGGATCAGTGCGCAGAGTGGTAGAAAAACACCTGCTGTTAATTATTTGGAGAAAAAATTGCCTCTGAAGTGTGGAAGCAATATCAACCAGCACACGCTTGAACCACCAACGTGAAGTGTAATATTCTGAACAGAGGGAGTACAGCAAAAACAAGTGCACAGAACAGCTGCCTCTTAGATATGGGCATGGTAATTCACTCATGTTTAAACTTTGTTTCTGTGACAGTTTCTGTTTTACTTTCAGGGGAATCTCTTTTATTTATTTTCTTGGAAAACAAATGGAACATATAGTTCAACTGAGTTTTTCTTAATTAAATTTAATCTTCAAAAAAACAACAAGAAACATAATTGAAAATACCATCCTGGTTATATTCTTTTTGAAACAGCAAATAAATCAAAAGAATCAAATATTACATTTTGAATCATTAGCTAAGTCTTTTCTAGATCTTATTTCAGAGACAAATCCTAACCTGATGTTTTTCCCACTTGAGAAAACTGAACCTCTACATTTTTTCAATGAAATATCTTTTGTTTTTACTCCTTCTGCTTCTCATAATCAAACACATTTAGAATATATTCATCTCATCAAGTGAGGAGAAACTTATGAGACCACTTCTATTGACTTGGCAAAGCCGTTTGTCATCCACCTGCAATTAAATCACTTTTCTGCAGGGATGATATAGACACCACCAGGACAGTAAACATTAAGTGATTGAATCTAGATTTCTAACTAATTATTGAGCATAACGGTTCTGCAAAAGGACAAAGGGACAGTAGATTAAGAAATATACTTTTAGATAAAAAGATTTTAACCTAACGGTGAATGAATAAAAATAAACTGCTTCTGAGAGAAATGTTGTCTATTGATGTGCATTCTGGCGTGTTGATGTAGATAATCAAATATTAACAGCAATAGCTTCAGATAGATCTGAGAGAAGGTTATTCCATGGATCATCGGTCATACTAAATCAAATTATCCATCTTATAAGTTTCTGGTTTCATTTTCCCCTTCTAAGAGTGACTTACACAGCCTCCAATATTTAAAATAAAACGGTAATTTCTCCAGTTCTTTCAACACCATCCAGCCAGGACTCCTAAGGGACAAGCTGGAGCTGTCAGGAGTGGACCAGCACATGTCCGAGTGGATTCTGGACGACCTCACTGGCCGCCCACACTATATAAGGGAACAGGGCTGTGTCTCAGATGGGTTGGTTTGCAGTACAGGGGTCCCACAGGGGAAAGTGCTGGCACCGTTCTCCACCCTCTATACTGCAGACATCTCCATCAAGTCCCAATGCTGCCACCTCCAGGAGTTCTCTGACAAAGTTTTCGGACAATTCAGCATCATGGGTGGGGACGACTCAGAATACAGACAGTAGAGCCAGGACTTCGTGGTCTGCTGCCAGTAGAACCACCTTCTGATTAATGCAGGGAAAACCAAGGAGCTAGTGGTGTACTTTCGCTGAAGCAGAGCCACCCCACTGATACTGGTGAACATAAAGGAAAGGGACACTGAAGATAGTGGACTTTTATAAGTACCTAGGTGTTCGCCTGAACAACAAACTGGACTGGACTTACAACACTGAGACTCTCTGCAAGAAAGGTCAGAGCAGACTCCTTCTGCTGAGAAGACTGAGGTCTTTTGGGGTGCAGGGGTGCTCCTAAAGACCATCTACGACTCTGTTGTGAAATCAGCCATCTTTTATGAAGCTGTCTGTCGGAGCAGTGGCTTATCTGTTGTTGCGAGAAAGCGGCTGGGTAAAGCCCGGCATACACTGTAGTGCGAGAATCTTTTGATAGGGCTGACTTTCAGCCTGATCATGTGTCGTGAGTCGTGTACAGTAGTGTACAGGGGGTTACGAGCGGCGATAAGCCTCTCACGCTAATTTTATACTCCCTCTCAGATATAAACACAGCAGCGTGGCGGGGATGCAATGAGTGAAAGGCCGTTTTGTCTGTAAAATTAGTAGCCACGTTTGCTCAGCCATGTCTTTTTTCCAAATACGTCGTCGCCTTTTCTTTTAAGGACTTTCAGCACAAAATTCCTCAAATTGCCAAGGCAGCGCGTTTCACTCTAGTCATCTTCATATTTCCCTTATATTTGTTTGGCTTCAGGATAGACGAGTCAGAGCAGCTACATCTCACTGCGGAGCTGAGTCCGACGTGGTTTTTAGTCGTATAGTGTGAGCAGGTAGATCGCATCAGAGCATCGGGCCGAACATAAATGCTGAGCTGTGAACTCACACTGTACGACTAAACCCTTCGATTAGTCGTACAGTTTGAGCAGCAGCTGCGTGCAACGATTGAAAAAAATCGCACAGTGTATGCCCGGCTTAAGCTGATCAGGAAGGGCAGCTCTGTGATTGGATGCCTCTCTGTATTAATGCAGGAGGTAGGAAACAAAAGGATCAGGCACGTGCAGAGGGGGGGGCTAAGGGGGCTTGAGCACCTGCCCCTTTTGCTCCATGATCCCAATGTGCCCTTTTGGTCCTTTTTTTTTTTTTTTTTTTTTTTTTTTTATTTGACACATGTACTGAAATTATTATTATTATCTTTTTTTTTTGGCAAGAAAAATAATAAAATAAGCCCTCCGGTCACATTGTTACCTTTGACCTTTTGCCGATGACGATGCACTTGCCTCTCGTACAGTCAGATAAGGCGGCTAACTGTGGAGCTAAAGGTAGCGAACATTCCACATTACACTGTGGCCGCTGCTCATTTGGCCCTAAGCAAGATCAACCATGATCGGACGGATGGCTGTGTCTTCAGTCTGCACCGCCTCTCCAATGTCAACCTGAATAGAGATGTAAGTGAAACCAAATGAGCCCCATGGATGATGCAGTATTGTTTGATCTAAAACACTGTTTACTCTGTGCTTTTAGTCTTTTACATTGAAAATTATCTTTTTTAATTCACAAAAAACTGTTCTGTAATGATTACAGAACAGTTTTTTTGTGAATTAAAAAATAGAATTTTTGGTGAAAATACTGGAGTAGGCTTGCTACTTGTCAGACAACGGAAAACTTTGAACGTTGTATAATTTCTCTACTTTAGCAAAGAGTAGCGGTTTAAACGGAGGAAAGTATAGGACGCGGCAAGCCTTTCTCTGAAGAACTACTGAGCCGGAGGAGACAGCCAGGTGAGGAAAAGCTGTTCTTATCTATCGATTCAGTATTTTTATCATACAGACATTAGGCTGTTGTTCTTGTGTTTCCCTTAGCTTTGATTGTATGTCTCACAATTTTGTAATTTATCATTGTTCATTAAACTCTGAAAGCTATGTGACTTTGTTAATATTCTGTCCTAAAATGCGCTAAGATGTGCCTTTTTTTTTTTTGAGCACCTGCCCCTTTAGTGGTCTCTGCACGGCCCTGAAAAGGATACTAACTAAATTAACATCTCTGTTAGATAATGTCTCTCACCCCATGCATGAAGCTGTTACAGAACTGGAGAGCTACCTCAGTGACACACTGCTGCACCATAAATGCAGGGTGCGTTATCGCAGATCCTTCCTCCGACCAGCTGTAAGACTTTATAACCACCTCTTTTTCCAACAAACTCAATAAGCTTTACATTCGCACAGTTTTTACACTCGCTAAATGTTTGTAAAGCATGCTATGAGTCCTTTCTATCCTGAAAACCAAATCCAGAGACTGATCTGCTCCTAAAATAGCTCAACAAAGCATTTTAATATCTCTCTTAGCTAAAACAGTAAGTCCACATTTTTAGTATTTGACATATTAAGGGGAACGTTCAAATAATAATACAGGAACGTCCTGTATTATTATATTTTATATTAAGATTTATAGCCAGAGCAAACATTCACATTCTCTAGAAGAGCTGTTTGCATTCTACACGTTGTGTAAACAGAACGATTTTAAATGAAAACGGGATGTAATTGGAGACGTTTGCATTGATCTTGAGATTAGTACAATTTAGTGCTGTCATTTTATAGGTTACATGTAAATGTTTTATAACTGAGTGCATTTTAAGTTCCAGTTAATGCATCATCTCCAAATTATTTATCTTTAAATCATACATATCTATGCATCATCCAACAGTATCTTAACAATCTTGCAGAACAGATTTGCAAAAACATAATGATAAAAAAGT